AGGTTGTCAACGAGGTGGCTGTGGAGGTCCATCTCAAGGCAGACATACTAATGATGATGACTCAGTGAAGACTTGTAAGTATTGTCACTAATCAAGACATCTCAAATATAATTGTCCTAAATTGAAAAAGAAGGTCAATGGTGCTTACATCGCTGCTCAGGATAACTTCACCTCATTTGATAGTGAAAGTCAACTACATTCAGTCTTTCAGGATGCGGAGCTGCATCGTCAATTTTAGTAATTTTAATTATTCTAGCAGTATTAAAGTTCACAACCATCACCCTCCTCTTTATCCACTACTCTCAAGTGCAGGTACCTCTTTATCTTTATTTACATCATCTTCGTCTCATACTTGGATTATAAATACAAGTGTCACTGATCATATGATTAGGAATCAATGTATCATGTCATCTTTCTCTCCTACATCTAATTTAGTTATATTATCTGATGGTTCACGTACACCTGTTCAGGGTGTCGGCAACACCAATCCTACACCTAGTCTCCCCTTTTTTTTCGTATTCTATCTTCCTAGTTTTTTCTATAATATTTTATCTGTTAGTAAGATTACTAAATTACTAAACTGTACTGTGATATTCTTCTCCACACATTGTCTTTTAGGATCTGGTCACGAGGAAAACGATTAGGACAGGACATAAGCAGAACGGTCATTATAAATTGGACTTGGGCGCCAAACATTTAGCTTGTATTGGAAACTCATCAGCTTTACAATACCATTATCAGTTAGGGCATCCCTCTCTCTATTCTCAAGCTTCTAAATCTTCAGTTCAAATCTCTTTCCTCTTTAGAGAGTGAGTCGTGTCAACTTGGCAAACATCATCGTGTATCTTATCCTAATCGAGTCAATAAGAGGGCTGTAAAGCCATTTGATCTTGTTCATTTTGATGTCTGGGGGCTATGCCTAATAACCTTTAAATTAGGATTCCGGTACTTTGTCAGTTTTATGGATGATCACTTTCGTGTTACTTAGATTTATCTTCTCAAGTTTAGGTCTGAAGTCTTTTCTACATTTAAACTCTTTTATTTTGAAATAGTCAATCAATTCAAGACTTTGATAAAAAAATTTCGATCTGATAATGCAAATGAATATTTGGATGGCAACTTCACTAGTTTTCTTAAACAATATGAAATTCTCCACCAGTCTTCTTGTGTTTACACTCAATAAAATGGAGTTGCTGAACGAAAGAATAGACATCTCATTGATATTGATCGAACCTTGCTATTGTCACGTTCCCAAAGAGTTTTGGGGGGAAACTATCCTAACAGTATGTTACTTGATTAATCGAATGCCCTCTTCTATTCTGTAAGATAAAATTTGTTTTAAAGTTCTATATCCTAACGATGATCTCTTTTCGTTTCCTCCAAAGATTTTTGGCTCTCTGTGCTTTGTTCATAATCACAGTCCAAACAAACAAAAGTTTGTCTCTCATTCTATTAAAGGTATTTTTCTTGGCTACTTCCGAAAACATAAATGTTACAAGTGTTTCTGTCCATCACTCAATCGTCTTGTGTTATCTGCTGATATAACATTCTTTGAAGACAAACCTGGTTATTCTAGTTCTCTAACTCCATTATCATCGGATGATAATGACTATTTTATCCTACAAGTCATTGGTTAACAGTGGTGGTTTATCCACTGATAATACTATTTGTGCTACCGGTAAAGATTCTGCTCGGTTTAACGACCCAATTCAAGTTTATCATCGTCGCTTTGCTCCTGCTCCTAAGCCAACGTCGGCCTCAACATCACGTTCTGCGCCAGAAGAGCCAAAATCAGTAAGTGTAAATTTATCCTCTTCTGCGGAAGACCTTCCTATTGCACTTCGAAAAGGGACAAACTTGTACTCAACATCCTATTTCTAACTTTGTCTCTTATGATCGTCTCTCCACTTTTCGATCTTTTGTTACTTTGACTCATATTTGGTTCTTAATAATGTGTTAGAAGCCCTGTCTATTCCAGGTTGGAACCAAGAGATGCAAGACGAAATGAGGGTCTTGCGACAGAACGAGACTTGAGATTTGGTCCCACTTCCACCAGGAAAGCGGCCCGTCGGCTGCAAGTGTGTGTACACTGTTAAATTTAATCCTGATGGAACTTTGACATGCCTGAAAGCCCGACTGGTTTCTAAAGGCTATTCGCAGGTGTATGACTTAGATTACTTAGATACCTTCTCTCCAGTGACAAAAATAACATTTGTTCAGATTTTTATCTTATTAGCAGCGATAAATCACTGACCACTTCATGAGTTGGACATCAAGGATGCATTTTTTAATGATATTCTAGATGAAGAGGTTTACATGGAGAAACCATCGGGTTTTGTTACTCAGGGGGAGAATGCGAAGGTGTGTAGGCTAAAGAAATCACTTTATGGTCTGAAGCAATCTTCGAGAGTCTTGTTTGGACGTTTTGCATCGGTTATTCGAAAATTTGGGCTCTATCGTGCACAGAAAGATCATTATGTCTTCTGGCGATTTCAGAATGGGTAACGAATTCTGCTTGTTATCTATGTGGATGACATTATAATTACAGGGGATGATGTTTCTGGTATTGATAGTCTGAAGAAGCATTTACAGACACATTCCAAACCAAAGATCTTGGTTTTCTAAAATACTTCCTAGGCATTGAAGTCGCAAAGTCAACTAAGGGTATTCTTCTGTCACAAAGAAAGTATGTCCTGGATATGCTTTTAAAAGCCGAGATGTTAGGATGCAGAAGTAGTGATTCTCCAATGGATGTGAACTCAAAACTACTACCAGACCAGGGGAAGCTTCTTGAAGATATTGGACAATATATAAGATTAGTGGGGAAACTAAATTATCTGACGGTGACCAGACTTGACATCACAGTCGCAGTCAGTGTTGTGAGTCAGTTCTTGTCCGCACCCAGAACCACTCACTTGGATGTAGTAATGAGAATTTTGAGGTACTTGAAGAAGGCTCCAGGACGAGGAATTCTTTACTCTGATCAAAGACACACCTGAGTTGCAGGCTTCTCTGATGCAGATTGGGCTGAATGTCCTTTTGATAGGAGATCAACTACTGGATATTGTGTCTTTCTCGGAGGAAATCTAGTGTAATGAAAAGTAAGAAGCAAAGTGTTGTATCTCGATCCAGTGCAGAATCAGAATACAAAGCTATGACAAATGTGACACTAGAGATGGTTTGGGTAAGAGACCTATTGACAGAAATTTGTCTCCTTCTAGAATGTCCCATGGATCTATATGACGATAATAAAGCAGCAATTCACATTGCTGAGAATCCCGTGTTCAATGAAAGAACCAAGCACATTGAAGTCGACTGTGATGTAGTCCGCAAGAAGTTCGAGGATAAAATCATCACGACAAAATATGTATCGACAGTAGATCAGTTAGCAGACATTCTTATAAAACCATCAAACACAGGTTGATTTTATTTGTAACAAGTTAGGCATGCATGATATATATGCTCCAGCTTGAGGGAGAGTGTTAGAAGAAAGAGAGTATTAGTTTAGTCCCACAATGCTTGTGAGACTAATTTGTAACTAATCCATCTCTATAAATAAAGTATAGAGTGAGTGGTTAACTCTCCAATAATCTCTTTTCTCTTCAAACTTTAACACTTATGATTTTTGCAGAAACAAGAAAGGTCTCTCTTTTATATCTGTTCTCTGTCCTATTTCTCTCACTGCCACTAGACTTAACCATCTCACTCTGTTTTTTTAATGAGATTATAATTTACTTCTTAATAAAAATAGGCCTAGAGAAGGGTGCTAGCAACAATTCTATTCAAATTTATGGCTCTATCCATTAGTTATTGACATCTGAAAGATATGTATTATATCTCGAACATTTTTTTTGGGTTTTTCTCATATTAGAGCCAAAACTCTATCCTTATTTATATTAAGCCTCCGAAATCTTCATATTTGTATGTACCCCTCAATCCATTAAAGGTCTGTTTGGTTAATTTCTGAGAAATCTAATTCTGGGAAATAACCTATGAGAAATGGGTTGTGGGACCCATTTTTCCTTTTCCAAACTCATTTTTTCCGGCTCATTTTTCCGAAATGGGTTTCCTTCTTTTTTATGCCCCATGAACTGTCTACATTTCTAAATGTGGGGGTCTCACATGCACTTTTTTCCTTTTTTTTCTCTCTACCAAACAAAGAAAGGAAATGGTTAAAGGAAATCATTTTCCTGTAATGAAGATTTTCTTGGTTTCTTTGACAACCAAACATGCCCAAGTTACCTTAACTAACAGCCCTTTATTCGTAATTTACACCCCTAATATCTTTTAAGTTGTTTTAATTAACACCTCCGATTGAAAAAATATGAAGATCTCATGGGTGTGATTTATAACTATGAAAAGTTGGAGGCTTAATTTTAAAATATGATAGAATTTACGATTTAATATGGCAAAAACCATTCTTTTGGCAAGCTTACATATTTAATTCAATATTTGGAATCTTCGATTCATATCTGTTATTCATATCTGTTACAGTGTAAACAAATAAAAAAACACATCTATACTGATTCTGTGTCTGCTCTGAAGGCACCCATGCCTCTAGGGTGCAAAACAAGCATACAAGTGCATTATGGACTTGTGTTAGGTTGTATAAAATTCAGAAATTTCATATTAAGCGTTGGACTAGGTTTTCTTTCCTTTTCTTTTTGATAGTTTCTTGTGTTTTGGGGTCAAAGGAGTTTAATCATCAAGGTGCTGTAATATGTTTTCTTTTTCTATATAAAAAGAAAACATGACCTGATCCTTGGGGATGATAGTGTATGATTTGATACCCACAGCCACATACTTTTTTTATGCAGCTATGTTTTTTGTCTCTAATGCTTTACCCCGACAACCTTTTTCTTGTCATTCTTCACGGTGATTATAGTAGCAATCTCAGGTGTCTGTATGAATGATTTCCACTTATGACACTCTTGTGGTGAATATCATAAATTATTTAGTACTACAATATAATGAGAAGTTTGTACGGTCATTTATTTCAGGATGTCCATGAGACGGCCGCTGGTGCACTGTGGAATCTTGCTTTTAATTCGGGCAATGCTCTTCGTATAGTTGAAGATGGGGGTGTTCCTGCCCTTGTTCACCTTTGTTCATCATCAGGCTCTAAAATGGCTCGGTTCATGGCTGCTTTGGCTCTTGCTTACATGTTTGATGGAAGGTAATTGATTGTATATCTTCATTTTGTTTCTAACTTTCTATCTTGTCCATGATTTAGTTTCACTTATTACGGTGCGTATCCGTGTATTAATTGATTTTTTAACAGATCTAATGCTGCAGTCCTTATCTCTTAAGCATTGAACTTGAATCATTGTTTTCTATTTTATGTTGACGAATTTGTTCATTATAATCCTTACATTAACCGATTTGAGGTTAATTCTGATGATCAAGAGATCTAAGCCTTGTTTTTTAAAGATATAACAAACATATTAATGAATTCTCTTGTATCATATGAGCTATAGTTTTTTTCAAGATTATCTAGTTTTTGCATGTGCGTTTATCCGCATGTATATCCGCTTATATATTTGCATGCATATCGTTATCCATATCCGATTTTAGTGGATATGGATATGAACCTTACCAAGGCATATCCATGTCCATATCCGTGGTTGGCAAGTGGATACGGATAGGGTAAGTATCATATCTGAGCCGTATCCGAACCGTAAGCACCCATAGTAGTTAATCTTGCAAAAGTTGGATAGAAATCTGTGGTTTCACGTAGTACTTTCCTTGCTACTATGTATCAATAACATTTGTTATCAGACTGGTCAATCATAGAGATCTGCATGATTGAAACCCAACACACTGTGCCACGCTGTTATAGTCTTTGTTGAACTGAAAAATATATCATGTATTCGCATAATACATGTAGTCACCAATGATAAGTCCAGTCCCCTTTATATTTTTTATTTAGTCTGATGCTTTATTTTTTTATTTAATCAGACTAGGTTTAGAGTAGAAGATTCTGAATGTTTTACGTGTATGCTATTATTTGTTATGTGATTGGAGCACTCCCAAGTATAATCTTTTACACATCCTACAATCCAAACATGTAGAGTAATGAATTTTTATAAAGCAAGAGTGGCGTCTTGTTATGCAGTAAGATCGAATGTAGAGATATGTTCTGTAGTTGTAGCTCTTTATCTTCTTTTTGATAAATAATGGAGTATTGTAGCATGCAACTTACAATTTACTTCTCTTGGACCTCAAATTTTTGCGCACAGAATGGACGAATTTGCATTGGTTGGCTCGTCTTATGAAGGCACCTCTAAGAGTGTTAACTTTGATGGTGCTGAGAACCCCTCCAAGCCCCTCTCCCTCTACATCAACTCGCCTGGCGGCGCCGTCCCCGCTGGCCTCGCCATCTATGACGACCGCCTTCGATTATCAATTTGTTTCTTTTATCAGGTAATTACGTGATTTTTTTCGTTTAATTTGAAATCGTGCTTTAATGGACGAATTTGCATTGGTTGGCTCGTCTTATGAAGGCACCTCTAAGAGTGTTAACTTTGATGGTGCTAGAAGGATGGCATTGAAGCACATAGAAGCTTTTGTGATGACATTTTCGGATCCTCAAGTCTTTGCTGCCGCTGCTGCTTCGTCAGCTGCTGCATCATTGGCACAAGTGGTTGAAGCAGCGCGCATACAAGAAGCAGGGCATCTGAGATGCAGGTCTGCTTTTGTTTTCTTTTGTTGATTATGAAATGATGGAAGTAAATATAGTTCCAAGGGATGATATAGAAATATAGCTATCATTCTTTACAACTGACTCCACCCATATAGCATGATCGAAAGCCACCTTCCACAATGTTTCTGTAATTTTTTTTAATCACATAATGTGGCTTACTTTTATCGGCCTTTAAAATCTTGATCATTGTTTATGATGTGCTTTCGTTTATAAATGTCTATGTACATGTTTATATTTTTTATTAGAAAGATAAATTTATGCACACAACTGTAACCTTTCTTTTTGTTGACTCTCCAGTGGTGCTGAGATTGGCAGATTTGTTGCCATGCTTCGAAATTCTTCTTCCATTCTTCGAGCATGTGCTGCTTTTGCTCTACTTCAGGTATTGATGCAACTCTCCAGGTCTTTTTTTCCATATGATTATTTGAATTATTGCTGCTAATACATAGGTAGGCTAATTTCTTGGTTTGTATTCTTTTGATCTAAATAACTGGAGGTTGCGCAGTTTGGCATATTATTTGTACAGTTAAATGTCCATAGCACCCACTTTAAGGTATTCACAGATTAAATATTTGTTTTGATGTTATTTCTGATTTGAGGTAGGTTAATCAGAACTCTCTCCATTTGAGATATTTCACCTTTAAATAAATCCTATTCATAGTAATTTCTGTGTACACTTGGTTCTAGTGGGTCTTTAACTCGTCAGGATTCCAATGAAAAGAACCTTTTCCCCCGGTAAAGGGCATTATTTCTGAGTTATGTCTCTAGTTTGTTTATTTTCTCCAAGTTCTTTCTCATTTTTCATTGTGTATGCTAATGCCATTAACTTGATTGTAGAATACCTATGAGGAGAAAATTATGTAGGACAGTTTTAAAGTTAAGACCATTGATGCTCTATGGGTTAGAATGTTGGCGTTTAAAAAACTAGTGCAGGAAATGAGTGTAGCAGAACTGAGAATGTTACGATGGTGTTGTGGATATGCACTAAAAATTAGGGTAAGAAATAAGTGCATTCGCATGAGTTTAAAGGTAGACAATTGGTTGGATGTTTTGGTTAGATGCAACAGAGGCCTCTTAATGCACTGGGGTGCATTAGGAAAAGTGATAATATTATAGTTAATGGGGTGAGGAGACCTAGAGGTAGACCTAAAAGAACTTTATTGGAAGCAATTAAGAAGGATAGGACAATGGTAAATGGAAGAGATGACCCAGAACAGAACTGAATGGAAGAATAGGCTTCATGTAGCCGATGACTCTAAATATTTGGGATAAAGCCTTTGTTGTTGTTGTATACTAATGCCAACTTATTCTCAGTTTCTAATCATAAATGGGCATTTAAATGCAGTTTACTATTCCTGGAGGTAGGCACGCTACACACCATGCATCCCTCTTGCAGACCGCAGGGGCTGCCCGGGTTTTACGTGCAGCAGCTGCCTCTGCTACAGCTCCAATAGAAGCCAAACTCTTCGCAAGAATCGTGCTAAGAAATCTCGAACATCACCAGTTAGAAGCTTCACTGTAGAATCCAACACAGAAAACACACTTCTCCTATGAAATACTTATACAAGATGGCAGCATAAACTCTCATCTCTACGTTTCCTTTCCCTTCGCATCAATCAACATGAGGCGACGCATGACACATCTGTTTAGAGCCAAGCAATGTCTGATTCTTTGTCAATGAAACCCCCTAATGTCGAAGCCAGAGTCTTTGCCAACTTTCGATATGGGATGACGTTGGAGCTTTGCTTTAAATTGTTTTTGTTAGTTGTTTATTGGTTTGTTTTGTCTAATGATAAGGGTGTGAGCACATTTTCTTTGTATTAATTTGGCATGTGAAACAAGGTGCTGGCTGTTATAAAGGGAGAAAAAAAAACCAGTATCTGGCAGTTTTGTACGTTATGTATTTATTAACTGCATGTACACTGTTATAGCTATATACCAGAGTATTTCAGATTTAACACAAGTTATGACTTTAGTGACTGGAAACCACCTTGAGACCA